GTGCATGAACTGACTCACCATACTAACTGCATATGTAATATATGATGTTGTATGTGATACGTATATCAAATTTTCCATTAGTTTCTAATACATTTCCATGTCCACATTTAAATCTTCTTTTGCTAGTCCAGTTTATGATTGAGATCAATTAGTGTGCTAGTAGGCTTGTATGCTAGTTTACCAGTTTTCTATAAAAGATCTATGACATTGCCGGGAGATGAATATTCCTAATTTTGAGTAAGTCACTTCTATGTTAAGGAAATATTTTAACTTACCAAATTCCTTAATCTCGAACTCTTTTGCTACATATTGCTTGAGAGCTATTTTTTCACGTTTATTTTTCCTTCTAACAATTATGTCATCTATATATACCAGGAAGGCTCTGACTCTCCTTGACTCCAAGTGCTTAATAAATAGAGACTCTACTTGTACCTCATAGATAGTATTACCTTTGCAGATTTTCCAAACAATACCTGAGAGGATTGTTTAAGCCCATATAATGTTTTTTTTCAGTTTACACACTCTGTTCATTCCCTTAGTAAATCTGGGGAAATCTACATGTAAATTTATTCTTCCAATTCTCCATGAAAGAAGGAAATTCTTCACATCGAATTGCTACAATTACCAATTGAAGTTAGCAACTAATGATAATAGGACACCTACCATATTCATCTTTGCAACGAGTGCAAATGTCTCTTGTTAGTCAATTCCATAGGTCTGGATATACATTTTAGCCACAATCTTGCCTTGTATAATTGTGTAGTTAGCTATAGCTGTTATGAGATAAACATTACTTCAGCATTATAAATGGTAAAGGACTTTTTCTTTGTTTATTATGGTGATCAAACATCGTTCCTTCTCTGGGTAATTATAAATATTATCTGTATCCTTCTTTTCTACTATGGGCATTTGCTTATTACAACAAATTTGTTTTCTGTTACTTAACTTTTGAAGTTCATTTTTTGTCTTCTCATTTTATGTTCTTGTGGCTTCCTGTTCTATTGCAGCTAAAATAGATGATTCAGAACGCCTTCGCCCGGAAGAACTTAATCAACAAAATATAGAAGCTTTGGTTGCTGAAAATAACCTGGTACTTGGCCCTACCATTCCAGATCTTTTCTTTTTTACTTTTTGTGTAGCACTCAAGTTCCATACAGAGCTGAATCTAATGTATGTTGCTACATTCTAAATGGTTATAACTGTCTGAACTTTGCCCTGTAAAGTTGTTGGATGTGTGACGTGGAACTACCACAATTATAGAAGCCTACATAGACTTTTGAGTTACTTTGGTAAAACTACTAATTGAGCAAGTTCTTCTATGGTTCTAATATTGGCAACTGATTCTTATGTCTTTTCTGTAGAAAATGGAAATCCTTCCGGTCAATGATTTGGATGTCGCATTGCACAATTTTGTCAACAAGGATGATAAACTGGCTTTTTATTCTTGCGTGCAGTACAACATTGAAGAAACTCGAGTGAGTTTTTTTTTTTTCTTAATGAATTTCAGTATTGATATTTCTAAGAACCATAGGTTCGACTTGTATAAACTGTATCAATGTATTTATATGAGTTATCTAATAAGTAGAGTTATCTAGTTTTAAGGATAGTTAACATAATTTTAGTTGTTTGTCTTCTTGCGCATACTTAATCATTGCCTTGCTTTTTCTCCTGTTCATGCAGAACAAAATCGCTAAGGATTCAGATCCTCTGAAATTAGAGGAGGAAGATTTTATACTTAAAGTTGGAGAGTGCTTGGAGGCAAGAAGCTAAAATCCAATACAATTGTTGTTTAGTATTAATTACACAAACTTAAGTCAATCTTTATAAGATGTAGCTTAGGCAGTCAGCTTGCATTCTCCAAGGAACTAAGTTTTCATCGTAAGCTAAAAAAGTAATAGTTAGATACTTCAAGGAATTCCAGTAGGTTTGAGGAGCTTCCTCCAGCCCTGCCGTCTACGTGTGCATTTCAGATGCTTTTCATATCTGAAAAATTATTGCCTTAGTTCGGATGGGGGTTGAATAAGGTTCTATTCAATAAATGGCCATTTAAAGTTTACTTGCATCCCTAACAATGTGATGCAAATATGTTTGCTTGTTCCAGGAACGTGTCAAAGAAAGGTCCTTGCACCCTAAGGACACTACAGAATTCACCTCGCCTGGGCAGTCTTTGGGGGTAATTCTAGTTTCCCTTGTTTATTGTTTGGGTAGCTGGTAGACATTCTAGTTCTTTTTTTTTGTTTCTTTTTCCTATGGTGAGTTGGGGAGGGAATTCCTGCTCTCTAAGCTTCAGTCAAAACTTTTTACGAAGAATGACAGGAGGAGAGATGCGGCAGGAATTGGAAATACAGTTTCCTTCAGTGATGATGAAGACACAACACAAATATCTGGTTTGAAGTTTCCTGCTAGACGTCGGAAAGGATCAGCAGCTTCTCAGTCATCTCATGATGCCTCAAATGTTGTTAAAACTAAGACTTCTACTAGAGGAAGGGGTCGGGGGAGAGGATCTATGAACTTGAAGCAGACAACTCTTCATGCAACACTAGGTTTTCGTCAATCCCAGAGGTCATTCCTGGACCTGATTACTGATATTTTGAATGTTCTATCAGAGTAAACAGCTTTTTGAGTCTTTGCAACATATTTAAGTATCTGCGAAGTTGCCGTCATATGTGAAATAACACAACTATAAATATAAATGTAAGGTGGGGCAAGTGAAGATGGATAATAATTTATTAGAACTATAAATGCATTTGCACTTCTAATGTGTCTTATTATTCCAGGTCATTGCAATAGTTAAAGGGTGTAAATTTTTCCCTTCCCCCTCCAAACAAAAAAGAACTAGTTTTATGATTTTATTTTGATCATTGATAAACTAAACTGAAATTCCACCCACTAATTGCACGACCTCCATACTGGCTTGAGCTTCACCAAAGTTGCATAGAAAAACTTAGACTTTTGTGTCATTTGATGAGTTGGTAATTTGGTATTGTAGATCTGCATCAGCTGCAGCAACAACTGCTGTCCGAAGTATTGCAGATGAGGAGGATATGGTAGAATCTGCTTCAAGTGAAGCAGAGCAATATTGTACCAACGATGTTGAAAACAGTTCGGTATGGACTTTCTCATTGTTGAGTCTGTTAACTATATAGATTTTAGGCAGTGGAGCAGTGCAGCTTGCAAAAAAAAAAAAAAAGATGCTCATGCTGCTACCTTTCCAGACAAGAAAAATTATTATTAGATTCAATTTTTGGCAACTACAATCATGTGCATTCTTTGGCTTTTGTCTGGCCAAACTCGGACGGAAATTTTCTGGTAGATTAGACCATGGGTTTGTTAAAGCTTTTTGAAACATCAGTGCTGAATACAATTATCATGTTAAAACATTTAAGCTGATGGCTGGATATCTGCAATTCTTTCTGCAAGCTAAATAGTTTTGCTTTTTGCTAATATTCTCACAAAATTTGTTTTAACAGACCTTTTTCTGATATTTTCTGATGCTTACTTGTACTAAGTTGAGCTTGTGCATCTTTGAAGGAAGGAGATGAAAACCTGCAAAGTAGAGGACGCAAAAGAGCTGCTCCTAGGGGTAGAGGGAGGGGTTCTACATCCTCTAAGCGTGGAAGAAAATCAGATAACTCTTCTTCAATTCATAGAAAGCTGATGAATAAAGATGATGATGAAGAAGAAGAGGAAGAAGAAGAAAGAGCGAGGAAACTGAAGAAATCTCAACCTCGGGTTAGTGACATTCCCTTATGTTATTTTCTAAAAAGAAGCATTTTGTTTCCAAAAAGTTTCAATAGGGTACTAGGTCACTTTACTGGATTCTTCTCCAGTGTTCTTCAAAAGTAAATAACATTTTCTTTTGGCTCTAAGGCAGAGTGACTTTAGGAGTTCTTGT